CCTTATTTACGAGTAGCGGGTGAGTTCGGCAAAATAGGCGCTGCGAGTGGGGTGCGTGCGAAGGATTCACACTGGGACCTAATCCACTTAACGTAGCAATGCTGCGGCGTGTCGACTCTCCTAACTCTCTTCGTGTCAGCGCTTTTCGAGCCGACCAGCTCTCTGTGTCTGTGGCCGCCTGGTCAACTAGGTAGGAAATGCCCTGCTAATGCGCACGGTGCCGCGGCCCGGAAGTAATGCTCCACACCACATAGGATTGAACTATACTCACATCACCAAGTTCCGAATTTAAAGAGAACATTTTTACATCGGGACCACGCCCATGTTCGTCGACCATCAACTCGTCCTAAAAAAAACCCCAAACATCCGTCGTAGACTTTATTCGTACAGGACATACATTATGTATAAATGTCCCTTGTATTATTTGAACCAAGTTCTAGGGTGACGTACAAAGAAATAGGTATAAAGCCGCTAAATAGCACCAGATGTTGTAGAAAGATAGACATGAGAGAATCTGAAATGTTTCGACCTTTTCGCGAACCAGTGCTCGTTTTAGGGAAGCATTTCGCGATCAGCTAAGATTCGCTGATCCGCAAATATAGAAAAATCCAAGCAACACGGCGCAATAAGCCCATGCGGCCGATGTTGGGTACATCCATAAGGTTCTCTTCCCCTGGGGAAGAGCTTGATTTAGGCTGCGTTCACACTTTGCCGCTGCGATCACACTTTGCGGCAGCGCCCACCAGCGACCACGACCAGCGGAAAGAGACGTTTTGAGCGCTTGTCAGCGTCAGCGACTAGGGAAGTACAGGATCGATCTAGCGTCTACCAGCGTCCATCAGCGATCAGCAGCGTCTCGAGGGACAATGGATGTATGGATATCGATCTAGCGTCTACCAGTGTCCACCAGTGACCACTAGCGCTCCGGTAGCGTAAGCGACTAGGACAATATAGTTATCGATCAGCGTCTGCTAGTGACCAGCAGCGCCTCGAGGGCTAAGGATATCGCGTCCGTCAGCTATCACCAGCGATAGGGAGAAAAGAGTACGGGGAAGTAGGAGGGTAGCAAAGAGGATTAGGCGCTGTGAAATCGCGGTGTGTGCAACCACACCGTGCAACTGCACTACATTGTGCAACAGGATTGCATAATTCCGTGCTTGAGCTGTTGTGCGGTGCAGTCGCACATGCTGCACTTTCACGACGCCTGATCCAGCTGCCCTCTTACTTCCCCATAGTCTCTGCTCCTGGTCGCTGGTAAACGCTGGTGGACGCTCGTAGACGCTGACAGACGCCTATTCGATAATACTTCTCAGCCTAGAGACGCTTCTGATCGCTGATGGACGCTGGCAGACGCTAGATCGGCATCTATAGTTTCCTTGTCGCTGAAGTTGCCGGTCGCTCGCAACGCTAGA